TCTCCACCATGGATTCGCAGCCTCTGTGAGTGGCTCTGTTCACCTGCTGCACCAGGGCCCTTGGGGGTCCTCTGGGGCCTCCTTAGCTCTGGAGACTGGAGCCAGAGCCTCGGGGTTGCCAACACAGGTGGGCAGAACCAGAGTCGGGGTGCTGCCATTTTGGATAAAATGGATGAGCCACATGAGTGCTCCACCATGGAGGACAGAGCATTCATGGGCGTCGCCATCTTGGACAACCCCCAGGCGCATGGGTGCTGCCATCTTGGAACTGAATAAAGCTTCTCTTCAGATTATGAGCTGTATGCTGCTGCTCTGTGGACACTGCAGCAGTCAGGTTCTCTGTGTAACGGGTTCTGATAGGAATGGCTCTGGTTTTGAAGGTCATGAACTGAGGTCCAAAGGCTGATTTATAGGGTGTTTGCAAGGTCTAAGCTTTAGAAAGGTGCAAAATGTCCCTGCGAATCTAGGGACTTTTAGTATAAGATGCCTATAGTGCTAGGGACTTTTAGCTGCCAGATACTGAGTTCAAGTGCAGTCCTTCCCAGTGTGGTAAAGGAACAGGGATTAAAAGTGAATTATGGATAAATCTGGATAGGTAAAAGGGCTATAGAAGGTTTGTGAATATTGCAGAAAGTCTGTGGGAAGTTATAAAAATAAATGGAAATGTGAAAGCTTTGGAAAGAAATTATGTGGTGTTAGTAATAGAGGGTATGAGGCATGGAGATGCATTTTGTTGGGTATTAGAAGGAAAAAGATTCTCCTTCAAGCCTTGTGTTTTTCTCCCTACCTGATCCCTCCAGAACTTAGCATTCTGAAGGAATGAATCATGATATAATGTTTCTTTGCATAAAAACAATAAGACCAGTCATTAATAGTGGTTTTGTTAAGCAGGACTTTGACTGGAATGTCATGCCTGAAGGAGGCATGTATGGGTTCTGGTTGTTACCAGAAAGCTCAGAGGAACTGGGATTGACCTGTGAAGCTAGCAAAAGCCCACGAGAAAAGCCGAGTACTTTGGTTGGTTGTGCGGTTCGAGCCAGTCTTTCCATGAAAGGAATGAAGGTTGCTTTCCTGAAAGATGGCTAAGAAGGAGCCTATAGGCACAAAGGAGGCTCAAGGATTTGCATGAAACAACTGGTACAGGCAAAGCCAGATGGCAGATGTGTGGCTATGCTTCTGTGCCCCAAGGGGCGGACTGAGAAGTCAATCTAAGGGTTCCTTGTGTGAGTTCCAGCAAAGCGAACTTAAGGATAATAAGTGATCCAGGCTGCTCTTGGCATGTATGTGCAAATGAACAGTCAAAATCAAAAGCGAGACCCAAAGTAGTGCCTGTAATAACAGTGAGGGTGATCTTAAGGAGAAAAACTGTGGTTCAAGGAAAATCACTATGCTCAGTATTGGACATCAGAATGGTGCAGCTAACTATTTTGAAAGTTTGTTTTCATTTAAGAGTTGAAACCCAGTTTGTGATGTCACCAGAGATGTACAATTTACAGGTGCAAAGGACCTGTCAAATTGCCACTGTTAAATGTCATTGCAGGAAGGACCTTGCAATGGAATGTCTTCCTGAAAGACAGTCTCACAGGCTCAGAGACTGAGGATTATTGGGGATTATTGTGTGAATTAACCTGTGTGTTCTTCTGTTTTCATAGGGCGTATGCCTATGACCTGCCTATGCCCATGAGTGATTGGTTGCAATATAGGCCTCACTTAAGGAGCCCATCTTCGTCATCACCCCCCCAACCCCCAAGACTCAACGATTTGATTGAACTAAGTAGTTAGGTTGATAAAGGGTTGGGGTAGTCTATGGGCTTCACTTTAGAACTGATTTTCCCTTTTCTGTCTTGATAGCTTGGACAGAAAGGGCTCAGAAATCTGAAAGGAGGGAAATCATAATGTATTCCTGTCAGCCCAAGTGAGGTATAGTGGGCCACAAGGAGTCTTGAATAGGTGTAGCATGCCTTGTACACCTTCCTCCAGATAAGCCATTCTTTACTGAAGTCCCTGCTTTTGTCATTTAATAGTTATGATTTTTTTGTGCTTCCAATTTCTTGCCTAGTCTGTCACCCCCAGAATATGACCTGACCAGAAGGCCAATGGTCCAGTAATGCCAACCTTTGGACATCAAGCCCACGACTTCCTAGTGACATCCAACTGACCAGGATCCTGTAAGGTCCTTCCCCTTGCAGGAAGGACTCCCTCCGTGCTGCACCCCCCGCCCTTTCAGGGTATCCCTGACCCAAGGGTAGGTAGGACGACGTCCATGTCCAGCTGGAAGTAGTTATAAGATGAGACCTTCGTCCATTGTCACTTATATGATTCCGGAAGGAGAAAGGAATCTCAGAACCCCTCCCTAATAGTAAATCACAGGAGGAGAAAAATGATGAGGAAAGAAATCTCATTAATGCTCTGAATCCAGGGAAAGGGGGGACCTGTATATTCCTAGGAGAAAAATGTTGCTACTATGTAAATCAGTCAGAGATCATAGCAAAGAAAGTTAAAGAAATCAGAGAGAATATAAACCGCTGCACCAAAGAAACAGAAAGTTACAATTAGAGAAATTAGGGACTAAATCCCCAGGCCTGGCTCCAGTAGATACTACCCTTCCTGGGCCACTAATCATGCTTAGTTTTAAGCTTCAGCCCCTGTATCCTATGGACTATAGTCCAGAATCTAGAAGCTACAGTAACTTGGAGAACAACCTCCAAGATCCTGTCCCTTCAGCGGCATCATTATCACAAGATACCCCAAGATATACAGGCCAGCCTTGTAGTGATGCTAGACCAGTTAACGATACTGTCAAGCATCAAAAGGGGGGAGATGTAGCAGGAGACCTGCTTAGACAAGCCCAGACAAGTCAGAAGGACATGGTCCCTTTGCTGAGCCAGTAAGGTAAGGAGGGGTGAGCAACTAAGCAACTAAGTAAGTAAGAAGTAAGAACAAAAGAACACTGTATGACCCTATCAGCAGCCCTGCTTTCTCAGCAGCCCTGCTTTCTTGCTTCTGTAAACCTGCTTCTGCCATGTAGGCTTAGTAAAATTGCTTCTGCATGCAACACTATAAAAACAAGCCCCTGCCCAAGCTCAGGACCCAGGATTTGGAGATTGACTCCTCTGGGTCCACATGCGTAAATAAAGTTCCACTCCATACACCTGAAAGCGGCTGAGTTGTTTTCTGTAACAATGGGAGGAATGGAAGGAGCTGTCAGCAGGAGACTGAACCCAGAAAACCCACTGGGCCAACCTTGCAGTCCTGGTAGGGAGGTAATTGCAGTTGGGTGCCCATTTTCAGGTGGATAAGCAGCAGGTCTCCAGGGGAAATGACTAGCCCAAGGTCACGTGGTCCATTTTGGACAGAGTGCTTTGGGCCACTCCCACCACCTAGAAGTGGTAAGGCCTGTATGCTTCCTGTAGGAGGTGGCCCACAGTGGGTTTACAAACATTTTCTGGGCATTTAGTGAGTGCCAGACCTTGAGGTAGTCAATTCCAAGCCTGAGCTCTGAACTGATTTTGGAAAGGCCTCGTTGTCCCCATGGAACAAGCATGGATGGAGCTGTTCAGTGACTTCTACTAAGGGGCAGAGTTCACATTTGAGTCTATGCTTGTCTGAGTCTATATCTCATGACTTTCCACCCACTACCTGGAAAGGGTAAGCAAGAGACACAGGAAAAGAATAATGATAATTATAAGTTCTCCCTCTCTTATCTCGTTTGGACCTCCCCATCACTGTACGGGTGTGGTCCTGCAGGGATCACCCCTATTTTACAATTGGGCAAGCAGAGGTCAGCATCCTTGCTCCAAGCATTTCTAGCAGGTGGTGGAATCTACTTCCATCTTGTAAGGTGCCTGGCAGGTCACATACTCATGCTTGTCTTGAGGCAAAGGCCTGACCCCTTAACCTTTGCCAGGTGCTTTTTACCCTCTCTAGGCAGTAGCTTTCAATTGAGTCACCTGATCCCAGCACCAGATTGATCAGTGGCTCCTCATATCTACCAAAGCTGCATGTGGGAGTAGAAGCAGGGAATGGCCCACCTAGCCATTATACAGATGAACAGACTGAGACCCCAAAAGGAGAGGAGACAACCAAAGGCGCAGGAGACAGTCAGGATAAGTTCTTTGTCAAGGCTTACAGACTGGAGTAAAATGCATTGAAACATCATCTTACTCCGAGATTCAGTTTCCCCATGTGGAGGACGGCAATAGCGACACAACCATTAAAGTCGCTGTGTCGAAAATGTAGGAGCTACATTTACCGGCTTCTACCTTGGTACTACCAAGTTCATCACTGTATTCCCGCCAGCGTTCACAGTGCCGGTTGCAGTGCAGGCGTTCAGTGGCCGTTCGCTGAAGCAAGAAATGAACGCGCCTTTGCTGGGCTTGTGCTAAGCCCTTTACAATGTTCAGTCAAACGTTTAACTGTGTTATCAAAAGCCTGGTGCCATTCTCATCAGCAGCGCCAAGAGGTTGTTAGGGTCGCTCTTTTACAGAGGTGAAAACTGGGGTTCAAGGGTTACCTGAATTGCTCAAGGTCACCCCTCTAGAAAGTAGCCGAGTGGGGATCTGAACCCCGCGGCGCACTTTTAACTCCACCGCAGCACCCGACCTTCCCGTTTCCCAGGGCCCCAACAGAGCCACCCTAAAATATCTGGGTTTCTTTCAGATTACGAACCCGGGGAAGGCCCCCAAAGAGCCCTGGAGGGGCTCAGTGGGCTGGGGACCTGAGGGGGCCGGGCTTCATGTTTGGGAGTTAGTCGGATGGGCGTCCAAACAGGCCGGGTGAGGGACAGGGGTCTCCCAGGGGAGGGGGCGGAGCCTCACTGGACCTGGGCTTCTCAATTGGCCGGAGGGCTTGACAGTGGGAGGAGCCGGGTCTGTGCCAGCTAAGGGCGAGGCTTGTGCCTGACAGGCAAAGCCAGGCAGGCGTTTGATAGGCCGTGAACCGGCCCGGAGACTCGGGGGCCAATGGGAGTACGGGAGCGGGGCTGGGTCAGCGCCTTCCGAGCTGCCACCCGCGCGCACAGATTGGCTTCAGCACCCCTGTTGCTTACCCGTCCTAGCTGCTGTCCCCGCAACTCCGGATTCCTCTGCTCCTCTGCTGCACCCGGGCTGCCTGACTGCAGACATGAGCGTGCTCTGCCCGGATCGAGCCTGCTGCCCTCTAAATTAGTCCCTGCTGCCGCCCTTGGACCTTCCCGCACCATGGAATCCCCCGCCTCCAGCCAACCTGCTGGCATACCCCAGTCCAAAGGTAGGAGCAGCTGGCGAGGACCTCGGTTTGACTCCCGTGCTGAATACGGGCCCAGGTGGCGAACCCGAACTCTGTGTGATCCTATCCCAGCCCGTTCCGGACCTGGGTAGTACCCCGGCCTCCTCCGAGTTCCGGTCTGGGACCTCACCTGCATCACCAATTTAGGCCCTGGCTTTGCACCCAAGGCCCAGACTCAGTCTAAGATTGCGATCTGATCTATCCTCCCCAGGTCAGGAACTCTAACCTCCTTTAGGCCAGAACTGCACCCTGGACAGGAACTCTCCCAATCTGGGTCTCTCAGTTGAACCCAGCTAAGTCCAGGTGGGATTCACTCTGATCCTGCACCCAGCCGCCCTTCCACTCCTGGGTCCCCGTTCTGTATCCATGCTGTGGTTTGGCTCCCCATTTGGGCCCCAGCGGGGCTCCCCTGCCACGGATCTCACCGTAACTGCTACACGCCCTCACACCCACCCCATGGGTTGCCCTGGCTCTACCTCAGCCCAGAACTCCCAGTCCTCTTCTTCCCTGGCTCTCGCCATCCTTGTAGACCCCACAGGGCCCCATCCCTGCTGTCTTGCATCCTGTCCTGCATCCCTGTCCACTGGGAACCTCTCTTGGCTTCCCACCCCTCCCTAATAATGCACATGGTCTCCTCCTTGTCATGACTTGCATGCTTCTTTCTGCACTGGGGAGCTGGGGAACTGGGGAACTGGGAAGCTAACTCTCCCCGCAACTGTCACCCCTTGCTCAGCCCCAGTGTCTCTGGAGTTGATTGCTACCAGGTCTGTCCCTGCTGTCTGTGGTTTCTGGGCCAGTTGCCAGCCTAGGGCTGTGCAATTGGCTTGTTCTTATCTTCTCCAAGTAGCCAGCCTTCCTGGAAATTTTTGTGAGGTGGCGGTGCTGTGGTGGCGGCAGGATTTGTCATGAAGGGGGTGAGGGGAATGAAACTTGGAGGGCAAAAGGGAGATTTTTTTGCAGGAAGAGGAAAGATGTTTTTGGCATGTCATTGTCTCAGCAGACTGGGTTGTGTGAGAGATTTCCAAACTGGACATGGCTGTAGTGAATGGGCTGCCTCACTCCAGTAGCAGGAGTGTCAGTGGGTCTCAGTTTCCTTACCTGTAAAATGGGAGTAATTGCACCTACCTTTTCTGGACTCAGGTAGGATGTGAGATAGTGAATACTAAAAAGTTTTAAGCAAGAGTGAGTGATGAAGTGAAGACCCCAATGGTGCCTGGTGCATAGTAGGAAGGGATAGTTGCTGTGCAGCCCTGTTACCATTGTTAGCTGTTTTATTTTTATTTTTTTATTTTTGCTAAAAAGGGCTCAGCCATGTGGGGTCAAGGCCTTGCCTCTGCTTAGGTTGCAACTGCAGAGTTGGTTGGAGTGAGGGGGGAGGAAAGTAACAGCTGGCACTTAGTGGGCCCCTAATTAGGGGTTGTCCCTACCTCTTTTTCTTTGGAGGGGCCCAGGCAGTGGGAGGGTATGTGGAGTCCTGGGGAGGGGCTATGGTGGCTGTGAGCTGGAGTCCAGATGGAGGTGGGCAGGCTAATTACATCTTACATAAGTGGGAGGTCAGATCCCTGGCCATTGCCCAACCACTGTGAGTAACTCAGGAGGCACTTGAGGAGGGTGGTGTCTGAGGAGGGACTTGCACTGCACAGACCTTGTGCAGCTTGGGAACCAGGAAGTCATACACTTCTCCACTCTGGAGACCTGGAAAATCAGAAACTTTTCTCCAGCTCAGGGTCTGGGCCTCATGAAAATAAAAGTTAAAGTTGTAGGTGTGTGAAGGGAAAATGCACTTTGGTGAGACACTACTTGATCCCCCTATGCTGTGTCACTTGGGTCCTGGCTTTGCCCTCCCTGAGCTCTACGGAGGGAGACCAGGATGAATTTCCAGTTAATGAGTTCAGGTAACAGGTAATGTTGGGTGAGTTAGATGGAGGGCCTCCCCAAGGCCCAGAACCCTGTCAGCCTTTTTGGGATTTGTGAAAGGAGGTGGTGGGGGAGCCACAATGCCCCCTCACCAAATGTCCCAAAAGCTCCCATTTATCAAGTGTTTTTTTTCATGGGCCATGAGCTCTTCGTGTATCCCTCACAGCCCCATTTCTAGATGAGGAAACTGAGCATTAGAGATGTTCAGTGCCTTGCCCAAGGTCACACTGCTGTGAAAGATATAGCTAGGGTTCTGCCTAGTTCTGTGCTGGATGTTTGAGCTGAGTTGGTGGGACACCCCCTCACTGCTTTACACCTGCGTCTAGCACAGGTGTCTTTTCCAGCCTGGTCCCAGCCTGGAGGGCGGATTAAGCCAGAGGAGAAGTCTCCTGCGCACAGCCCTTTACAACTGGCACACTTTGTACTCATTACAGTCCCACCTATCTGACAGATGGCAAAACCAAGGTCAGACAGAGGGGTGTGTGGCAGGACCAAGTTCATAGAGCTGGTGCTCACTTGTGCCTTCCCCATCCTGGGCCTAGGGCCCCAGTGTGGTGCTTGTCTCTGGCTCCTCAGAGGAATTTGAACAAAGCAGGGTGTGGTTGGCACTAGACCTTACAGGAACTTTACCTTTGAGTTTCCTGCCTTGCAGTGGGTGCCCTGCTTCATCCTCTGTGCCACTGGCCTGAGGAGTTTTCCATGAGTACTCGAGGCCCCAGGCCCCACAGCCTCGTTGGCTTTCCCTGGCCTCCTCACATATGCCACCTTTGGCTGGGGTCAGAAGCCAAAAACAGCTGACACTGAGGCCATTGGGCAGGGGCACATTTAGTCTGCATGGTCCTGTTTTGCTGCCTCATGCTACATCTGTCCTTGGGGATGCCACTGCCCCCTGCCCATGTGCAACCATGCGGGCCCTTCATGGTTGATCTTCACGTAGCTTCTGATGCCCCATGGTACACTGATGCATCAGGGAGCACTGTCTTTGTCTGTGCCCTGCTTGCCCTGGCCACTGCCCTGCCTCCACCCTCTGTCGTGTCTCTTTCCCACTGTTGGAAAGACTGGAGGGTGGCACCTTGGGGACTTCCTCTATCTCTGGTGTGATACATAGGAAACTATCAGCCAGCCTGTGGCCCAGGGCCTGAAGGGAGCAAAGGTCTCAGTTGCCTTTGTGGGGACCAAGCCAGGGTAGTGGGAGGCTTCTGGTGGGTGAGTCAGCAGGCACTGGGCACTGACTCACCCTCTGGGCATGCCATACTGCTGGCTGCTGTTTAAAAGGGTAATGGCCTGCTAGCCGGTGGGTGAGGAGCCTGGGAGTCCCAGCCTCACAGGTCAGCCTCTGGCCCTAGCTGGGCACTAGAGGTGGTTCCGTTCTTCGACCTCAGCCTTGGTTGGGACCACCCCTTTCTTCCAGGCAGACCCTCCCGGCCTGGTGCCTGACACACCCCGGAAGTTACTTTGTTAGGCAAGGGCCCTGCTTCCTCTTGCTCATAGAGCAGGAGCATGTGGTGGCAGAGGTTTGCTGCCCTTGGCCCTGGGGCTCCCTCAGGCTCAGATGTACTGCTGGGGGCTCTGGGAGGCTGAGGAGCAAAGGTAGTGCTGGGTTGGCCTAAGCTCAGAAGACAGGAGTATAGGGAGGTGCCTGCAGGCAAATCCTAGCCCCGCCTCTTCTGCTGTGCGACTTGGGACTAGTCTTGTGTAGCACATTCACTGTACTCTGTCAATACTTTCAGTCCCCTGGGCCTGGCCCACATTTCTGATGAGAGGCCTTGGTTTCTTCACTTGCAGAATGGGAATGGGAGCCCTGCCTGTCTGTCTTGCTGGCAGCCAAAAAGGTGGATATAGACAAACTCATTTCACTCTTGCAAGACAGGAAGTGACAGCGGGGCGCTATGCAGAGCCTGAGCTTAGAGGGTGGTGAGTGGGCCTGATTTGAATTCTGACTGGTTCCACTGCTTCCTCACATGCCCTCTCTGATCCTGTCTCCTCTCCTGTAAAGTGGGAGGAAACACCTGTTTCTTGCAGGGTGGTGGTCAAGATTGGAGATAGTGTTTGTTAAACGAATGGCATTTGTTATTATTTTTGTATTGCTCTGGTGATGGCAGTTGTTCATTGCTGGATGAATAGACAGGACTGGGACGTCTGATGACGGACTAGTAATCTCTGTGACATGAGGGTTCTCAGGCTTCAGGGTCCTGTACTGCCACCCAGAATGTACCTGACTCTTCTCCACTGGTCCTAAGCTGGAGCTGGGGGCTCCCATGGTCTCTTGGGCCTACTTGGGCAGGCTGCTGGGGAGCGGAGAGGAGTGGGTGCTACAGGTCTGCCCCTCCCAAAGCATCATGGGGAGGTGTGGGATGGTGAATCAAGAGGGCAGGAGCCTCCAAAGCCAGCCCCTCAGTTGGTAGAACTGCATTAGTGCCAGGAACAGTGCTAGCTGAAGGGACTTATAGGTGAGTGGGGAGTGACACAACTCTTAAAGAACTCCTCCTGGGGAGTAAGAGGCTTTGGAAATCATGGTTCTAAAAGTCCAGACCCAAGGCCAGGTATGCTGGTGGGCCTGAGGTGTGTAGGGCCTCAGCAACCATGGGCTGACCTCAGGTGGGGAGTGTCACCATTTGGTGCCAGAGGAAGAACACTGGAGAGCCAGCATGCCAGCCAGATGGGGCAGTGATGAGGCAGGCCTGCCCTGAACTCAACTCCTGACATTGGGGCTCGCAGCCTTGGGGCATCGCCCACCTAAGTCAGGCCTGCTTGCTCAGCCATGGAAACCCAAAAAGCTGTATGGAAAGGGCATGAAGATCAGACAGTGGCAGTCTGATAGGCCCCCTTGCAGCTCACAGACATCAAGTCTAGGTCCACATCTAACTTCGGAGAGAGTCATCGGGATTCCCCCACACCCTAAGTCACAAGGTCCCTGTCACTCTCCTCCTGCTCTGAGGGTCTCTCTGTGGGCTATCATGACTGAGTTGGCATTTCAGGAGCCACTCTGGCTTCTGTGACCCTGTCCCAGCTGGTGGCCTGTCCCTAGTGGCTCTCTACCAACCTTCTGCCATGTCTGGGCTGGG